ATTTACCCCCCAGATTTGCAATAACCATACACCGGCTATTTCCTCAAGACACTCTATTCCATATACCTTTTACCCGTGCTTCTCCTACACTACGGACGCCCTAGTGTATGTACAGTCCGTATGATGTCAGAAATGCTTACCCCTCTTTCCGACTCAAGGCATACAAAAGCGGAGGGTAAATTTACCCCCCAGATGTGCCGATCACGCATCTTCGTGCCTGCCAACGAGTGCACCCGGGTTGTTCCAATGTACCCTTCCCAGTCAGCGATGTCACATTTACATTCTTTAGCGCAAAGTATGTACATAGCAACCTTCCCCCCAAAACATGTAATCCCTACATGCTTTGCCGACTATGTAACTAGTACATCCGGTGCGATTCGGCTAGCTTTCGACCTCTCCCCCTGGCCTCAAGTTAATATATTTGTAATATGTATAATATTTGTAAATTTAACTGATCCAGAAACCCGGGAAGACTATTTATAATATTTGTAATATTTTGTGCCCGGAATTTCTAGATATTCTCAATGTTATAAACATGTTCATTAGTTTTTTTATATTTGTAATATTTGTTACATTTATAATCTTAATTGGTCAAGAAACACTGGGAAGACCCAATATTTACATACATATATATAATTTTTGTGACCGGAAATTATAAAGTTAAAACTTCTTTTCTAAAATATTTATACTATTTTTAGATTTATTTGATCCAGAAATCCGGGAAGACCAAATGCTTAGAATGTTTATACATTTTGGTGTCCGGATTGTTTAAATACAAAATATATATTAAGTACCTACAATATTTCTAATATTTTTAAACTGTTTGATCCAGACACCCGGGAAGACCAAATATTTATAATATTCATAACATTTGTAAATTTTGGTGCCCGGAATGTATTAAAAGTGATATCACTATTTTAAAAGCAATACAGTTTTCAATATTCATACATGAATTGATCCAAAAATTCGTAAATAGCAAAAATATGTATTAATAATTTTTGGTGCCCGGAATGTCTATATATTATAAATAAAATATTTTCATATATATACTGTCTTATAAATTATATTTAACTTATTCAGAAATCCTGACATACCAAATTTTATAGTATTTATCATTTTTGGAGCCAAAAATTTTAAAAATTTATAGTATGTTTGCATTTTCTGATTTGCGAACTTGCGGAAAAACAGTGTTCGACGCATAGGGCCCCCCTTCGCCCCCTCTCAGTGGATCAACTCCAACCCTGCAACGGGTGAATTTTCCTTCATTTGTACTGGTACCGTGGCTTCGTGTGATTGGATTCGTATCAAGCTTCTCCTCCCTCGTCATTTGGCTACTCCTGCCTTGGTTTGATTGGATTCGCATGGAGCTTTGCCTCCGTGCCTTTTTTTTGCTTCTTTTCTATTGGTGATGCAGCTTTGCTGCGATTAGGTTCCTCTTGAGCTTTTCAGCTGCTGCTGCGCTAATGCTGCTGTTATGTTACTGTTGCTCTGCTGCTGCTGCCCCACGGATATCTCTCTCTCTCTCTCTCTGTCACTCTCTCTCTCTCCCTCCCTCTCTTCTCTCTCTTCTCTCTCCTCTTTGAAAGTTGAACTCAATGACCTACCTTTCCCACTCAAGTAAAAGTATTTGCGCCCAAGTGCTCGGACGAATGGGTTTGTAAGTAGATCAAGTTGTGTTACAGTTGTGTTTATAGGTCGGCGTGTGCTTCTGTATGGGTGATTGATTGTGCTTGTTTTTCCGCTCATGCAAGTGAAGATACTACTCCCCTGCAGACTATCATGGAACCTTAAAACCATTTGGTTTTTTGAGGAAAATTGTATTCCCGCGGGTTAATTCTCAGGCTCCATCTAAGTTTGCAGGCGGTATTTGTGCAATTATTGTGTAATTCTTGTATAGGTTTCAAGGCTTACGCTTGAGAGCGGGCCGGGCAGGCAAGCAGGTCCCTCTTTATCTCTCTTTCTCTTCCTTTTTCTCTTTTTCTTCATCTTTCTTTCTCTAGCTCTTTCTCTTGCTCTTCCTCTTTCTCTTCCTTTTCCCTGTCTTTTTCTCTTGCGCTTTCTCTTTCTCTGGAAGAGGAAGAGAAGAAGAGCAAGCAGAAGAGCAAAATGCTGATGATCAAGGCCACGGCCACTCGGGCAGCATATCTCGCGCCACGGGCCTGTGAAAAAGATTGCCCGGCCCGATTTAGGAGGGTGCCTTCAGGTGCTTATGGTAGAGGTGTGAGTTTACAGGCGTGCAATATACACCCTACCTCTTAAGTAATATAAGTGGAAGGCGCAAGTTAGTTCACCATTGGAATAGCAGAAGCAGATTGACGGGCGCAGTAGTGGATGCAGCCAAATAGAAGATGGCTTGACATGGCTGGCTTTGGACGGCAGATGAAGTCACACGCACGCAATATACACATACACATTGAACAGAACTGGCCCAAGAAGTCTCAGGATTGGGTGCTTTCTAGATTCCTAGTCATGACCTTTCTCGCCCTCAATATGACGACAGTCAGGTCCGGCTCTCCAAGATTTTGAGCTGGAGAGAATACTTTAGGTTGGCAAAATTGATGGCGCAAACCGCCTGAGTCGCGATTCAACAGAACGAACTTGGGGATTGGATGGGGTTGGATTTGTTCATTGACATTGGCCTGCCCTACTTCCCTACTTTTTCGTTTAATCTTTTTGAGGCTCGTGCTCCAGGATGAGCGGGGGAGCAAGGAACTGAAAGGATGGGCAAGGAAAGACCGGCAAGAAGAAACACGTTCCACCCACTATATAGCCATCATGATCCCGCCTCTTGCGACGCTTCGACCCAGACACATAAAAAGGGATGGCAGACAGAGAAAGCATATACTCATCACCGTGACTCATCACCTAGACAGGATTGGTCTGCGTTGGTGCAGTCAAGCACTCGGAGCTGTTCCGATTTTGCCGTTGCTGGTGACGTGTGCTCCTCCAGGTGCACGGTAAAGGTCGCGCAGGACACAAAGCACCAGGCCAGGCGGATAGCATCAAGCCGGATAAGGGTCAGGATTGCGTGTTCCAATGCACATGTTCATGTCAATAAATTCAGAATCAGACCCCTTTGCTTTCTTGCCGAGGTGTTCAGCTTGCGGGAAGGCACTGCTGCAGCCTTAGTTTCTGTGGCTGTGGAAGATGTTCGCGCCGCGTGTGATGCAGAGCACGAAGCGCCAAGAGCCACAAGTTCCACGTAGCAGGTTGTGCGAGTTGGGCGAAGTGCTGCTAATGACATACCCTCAGTTGTTGGAACAGTAACATCCAAGAGCGCGGCAGACGAGCTTGAGTTTTTCAAGGGACCGGGAGCAGTTTGTGCTTTGTTGCGCAAAGGATGTGGTCATTGACAGCGATGGTGTGTCACAGTTCCATGCCGAACTGTTCATCCGCAGTGGCCTAACCTGCTTCCTACACTGTGGAGGGCGAGTTGAAGAGCTGAGGTACTGGAGCGAAAGGAGGGGCTTGGCACCTACATCGACTAGTTTCGCATAGAGACCACGTAAACTGACAACATTGTTGCTCTACAAAAATCTGTGAAAAATATTGTATTCGTGTAGATTTATTTTACTGCTGCTGCGTTGCGCGAGGTCAGCGGATTGTGTATCCGGGACAACTCGAAGAATGGAACAGGTGTAGGAAACTTGGCGCCCCAGTTTTTCTACGTTTGTTTGTGTCTTCGAAGTTGTACAGTAGTTTTTTTGTTTTGGCGCTGCCTTTGTTAGTTGAAAGGCATGATTGGGTGTGAACCCATACACACATTGCTATGAGCATTTCACACCACCTGCATTTGCTCAACTTGCGCTACCTGTTTTTGGCTGATTTTGGCTCAAGATTTCATCATTTCGAGTGGTTATCAGCCCGCGCTGCTCTTGGCTGCCCGAGGCACTGTGGATTTGGGGCTCAAATAGGGCCATGCAACTGAACCAAGAGGCTTCGTCATCCACCTGGCTGTGTGAAAAGCTATTATATTCCATTCTGAGACCCGATCACTCCGTTGTCTCATCCAGAAACAAAAGATGCGGCGGACATTGGCAGTCAAGCGCGCAAGTGGCATCGATGATGTGAGGTTTGCAACTATCACCGCGCATATCTGTGCACCATGTCTTGAGACCCTTCATCCTAGTCAGATTGTTTTCTTCCCTTCAACACTCCTAATTATTAATTGGTTTTGCATTATCTCGCCGGCTTGGTAGTACAGGCCACGTGCCCGAGGATGAGAAGGAAGCGAGAACTGGGGGCGCCTGGCCTTACTACTAGGAGCAAGGACGCATTGGTAGGGAGGGGGTTTAAAGACAGGGTATGAAACAAAGCCACATCCAGGTTAGACATTTGCAGTTCATTTGAGCACCCCCACCATTAATTGCCCGGGCTTGCGCAGTGCTGGGGATGAATTGTATGCATCCACCGGTCTTCCAGTCTTTTGAGGAGTGTTTCTGCAGTTTGATGATCGCTGCAGTTGCTCCAAGTTCAGGACAGGAGCCCTAGCTGGCCCTAGCTGTGGAACCACGTCACTAAGGAGTTGTTGGGCGCGAAGTCAGCAAAAAGGCGTTGCGATCACGAAGGAATTGAGCAATGAGAAGGCTGCTGGGTTGAAGTGCTTTTGGTCAGCAAGGCATTTTGCAAACCTGACTGATTCAAACAAGCAAGCCATGAAACTTGCTAAACGTGCAAAGTGAAATATGTCACAAAATATCCAAAGAACTTGGGCCAGGGGCTTTGCGTGTAGTGTAGGCTCTGAAAACGATAAAGCCAAGTTGTTGGCCATGCGGAAATTGTTTTTCTGCCCTCGGGCCGCCCAGTGTTCACCTCACGAAGGGGCGCCTCTCTTGGGGCATTTTCGACGTCTATAGTCTTCCGGTGGTGATTGAGCACTTTTCCGCCGCAACACCTTCATCACCTCCCAGAGCCGCGCTGCCATCTTCAAGAGGTTGGCGTTTTCACTGCCCTACGTTCAGTAGACGTTGATGGAACCAAGGTCAAGTTGTAAGTTTAATTAAAGACCATGTCCTCTTTCTTTTCGAGCTTGGCAGGAGCTGCAGGGTCTTTACCAACGAGAGATCTTTCAGCAGCGTCCTGCACCTTGTCCACCCTCTTCCTCTTCAGGTGCATAGCAATGCTCTGAGATCGCCGTTGACCACCTTGACATATAAGACCCTCAAGACCACGACTGGGCCCATGCTTGACGCTGTTCATGCAAAATCAACACGCGTGTCACGGATTTTCACTGGCGTGATTGAGCTTCCTTGAATATCGCGATCTGATTCAGGCCCCCTCCAACTGAAACTTATTCCTCTCCAAACGCGAAAAAATCAGCAAAACTGGACAAGGGTACCGGCCAGCCAGCCGGTGAGAAGTCCAATCGCTGCGGGACACCAAGTGTCAGCCCCTGCGTCAGCGGTGAAAAGCGCAGGGCTCATCAGTAAGTTGGAGCTGCAACAGCAGCCCACTTGTTACTTCTTCAAACCTTGTGGTCTATTTAGTTTTGCTGTTGGACCCACTGCAAACCATGACAGGTTGCAAACCGTGTTGAGAAAGCCTGTCCAGCGTGCCAACGTTGAGCATCAGAGTGGCGTTAATGATGCCTCACCCGGCCTTTGCCTGCCACATCACGTTACGTAACAGCAGCAGCAGCAGCAGGGATGTCGCCTTGCGTGCTTCTTTGGGGAGCTAAGCGACTGCAAGTGGTCAGGAGCTCGTTCACTGGAGGCTCTGCCTGGAGGTGTGCCCGAAGGTGATCAATCCGGAGTCCGGCCTGCGGAGACCAACCAGCCGTGCTTGCTATCATCGCTCGTGGCTTTTCAGCTTAGCTGAAGCGCCCAATGTGTTCCACAAGCCAATGCGGCCTCAAATTGTCAAGATTTTGAACAGCTTCATTCCCTGGCAGTACATGTGCTCAGCAGCATGCTAACGTCATGACCAAAAGCCTGCCAACCATGGTTGAAGTTGATGTCCCTTGAAGACAATTAGTTTTCAATGCTTGGCGCGCTTGACTTACTCAGCTACAGTAGATCTTTTGCTATTGTGTGTGTGGCCGCCCAGTTGATTTTGGGTTTGTACAATGAGTTGCGATGGCAGTGATGGCATGTAGGAGCTAGTTTCGTATTCAGATTATTTCAGTTTTGGAGGCTGGCAGCAAAACGGAATGATACACCGTATTGGCATAGGTTTGCAGCGAAGAAGCTTGCGTGCGCAAGTTGTACAAAGTTCCGAACTGTGAATCTGGGGAGGAGGAGCATGTACGGTGTCTTGCCTCGCAGTGACCACGTACTGTTCAGGATGATGGGGGTTGAAAGATATTGAGTGAACCCACACATTGCTATGATCATTCACACCCCTGTATCAGATCGACTTGTGTTGGCCCAAGATGGAAAAGAAAGCAGCCGCTGCCCCTCGGGCGGTGCGTCCTGAGAACTTGTTAAATGTTTTGGCGACAAGTGGCAACTTCATTATCTCGAGCTTGGATGCTTTCCTTGTGCAATTTTAAGCGTGCGCGCTCTCAGGTCCGGCCTGCGCCTCACGGAGCCACGTGGGTGCCTCGGGCCGAGCATTGACCTCCGTCGTCGGACAGCCGACTACAGTTGATCAGGGAGGTGCGGTTGCTCCGTCAAGGTTCGTCAGGCTGATTAGGGTCAGATTGGTTTTCAGCATGTTGCAAGTGCCCGATCAAGGTCCAAAATGTCCAATGTTGACCCGTTTGCTGCCAGCTCAGCTGATGTTTCAAGAGCGTGGGCTTGACAGTGCTGGTTTGCGACAACGGTGGAAACAACAGAGGCGCTTGCAAAGACACGTTGTTCCAGTGCAAAAACCATGTGGTTTGAAAGGAACTGGGACGGCTCGCATGTTTGCCATCCAAGTTTCAACTCAACCAACGTCATACAACCTACGGCAACAACACTTAAAACAAGTTTGGTACTGCGCAGCCTACTTGTAGAATTTTGACTCAGTTGTGACTTTGCCATGGCATTGCGCGCGATGTCTTATGATATGCGTGGGTGCCAACAAAGCACTGAATGGTGACGAAAACATTCTGACAAAGGCCGGGTTCTTGATTGAAGCACCAAGAGCATTAAGTACACGCATGACGAGTCGTTCTTTCCAATTGCCGGCTTTGATGCTGCAGGAAGCGGAGAGGAAGAGAAATGCTGCAAAAATCACGTTTGCCATCACAAGAGTCAAGCGCCAACACTGGCCAAAGGTGCAAGAGAGGGTAAAATTGTTGATTTCAGATTTGAATGCTCTATTTGTGCCAGACTTGAGTTTCGGACTTCAAGGCCCTTCAAATTTGGGGCAATGCCAAGGCGACAAACCTGCACCGTAAAGACGGAACATTGCCTGCCAATGGTAAAAAGTTGTCGTAAAGAGTTCTGATCAACAGCATGCCTGAGGCCACTCAACGTGGCATAGATATTGATGTGGTTACGGGAAGTGCAACTCTGGCAGCTGTGGCAACAGTTGGAAAGTGGCAGCCATGCCTAAGAGACTTTGCAGCATCGTCCTTGTCAAACAGGAGGGTGTGATTCCTTGGGCTTTGATGGTGGGTTGATAATTAATTCAGATTTTGGAACTTAGAACATCTTCAAAAGATGTCGAGTCATAAGTTATCACAAGTGTTTCTCAAATTCATTTAGGAAAAGTCCTGTCGCGGCAGGACTGGTAAGGGGTCTTAGAACAATTCCAAATGTTGAAAACAACTACGTATATATAGGTGATCCCAGGTGCGGAAAACCAGTGTTGATGCAACACATTATATAGGTCATTATATACAGTACCTGGATTCGGGCAAGGCAAACATCCACTGCGTATTGCTCACCACTCCAAGGTTTGCTTGCAAGTTTTCAGGCAGCCCACATGCAGCTCAGCGCATGCCTCAATTTATACAATGGTTTGAGACCCTGGGCTGTTTGTGTGTGCCTTGTCACTTGACACGGCGCAACGCAGCACCTTTCTACATGCAACCTGTTTTCAGATGCCTATGGCTACAACGCTGGCGTGACCAGTTGCGCAAGGGCCGGAAGCTGGGCATTTGGGCAAATGCTACTACAGTCGATGAAGAACTGGAGAATCGAACTCCAAAACGTGCCATAGCTACAGTAAGAGTTTGTGATTCTTGTGGGGTGTAGATAAAGGATGCTTGAAGCATTTGGGGCACAGAGATTTGTGCGTTATACTGTTATACTTGTGGTGTTGCCCGAGAGGCTAAAGGGATGAATTGTAGGAGCAGGGGACAGTGTTATCACACGTGCAAAGCCCTCCCAGATCACCATCAATGCGCTTGCAGCCTGCCTTCGACAAAGTGAGAGTGGGCACCTCATTGACATACTGTATTTTTTGGCTGTTTGAACATTCAAGTTTGCAATGCCGATACCTGTATAATCCTTTATATATATAATTGTGTCCGTTCAATGGGTGGTTTCCTTTGGCTCTCTCAGCGGGCCTCAACTTATGTCAGATAGCATATTGTGTTGATCAACTTCAGCTTTGTGTCACGTTGCTGTTATCAGATCAGTCAGTGCATCCATGTTTCAGATTCCTGAGACTGGCAAGCTGCAACAGAATGCCTTCAGCGAGCTGTGACTTGTGATGTGCAGATGAACTTAGTGGGCTGCAACACGTTTCTTGGCTCATGCGACCTTGCAAAAGCCAAACAAGACTTGAGCCTAGAGCGATCAGCACACACTCTGTCAGACGTTTGCTTTCTTCAGGCTCTTGAGTTTCGCGCAGCCATGGCCAAATGCGTTCGAGCAGCTTGTCCGGTTTGCGTTTGCCTTTGCCTATGCAACTTTTGCAGCTAGAATGACAGTTGCTGAGAGCGCTTTGTTTGAGGCTTCTGAGGACCTGCCACATTCTTGGGCTTCGTAGCGACTCCACCACTTGGAATTCCGTTTTGACAAGAAGCCAGGCAATTTATAGGGCGCAAACAACTCACTATGCCAAGCTTGCAGTAATTTCCCCATGGTATGTTGCCAGGCCTGGCGTGGGGCATCTCTTCTGGCAAAAACAGCATCACAAGGCTGACAACTTTGCTGCCATTGAGAAGCTGTGCGCGTACAGAAGTGTTTAGCTGGCTGCCAAGACGCGAGAGCCAAAGCGCAATCATGAGGGATGTTGGGGTTCGTCACTCTAGGCATAGAACTGGACGTGATCACTATCAACGCGGGCACCGTGGGCACAACAAGGTGGACGGATGCCTTACATATCTATTCTCTCGGCATTCGTCTTGGCATCCGCTTTTTGACTCAAAGTCGATTTCGTCATATTTTTGCTTTGAAACTTGCGAATCCACAATCCTATGTCCGCAACCAACCTGTAGCATCGCATCAATAGAAGCACTTTCAGAGTTTTGGGCATATTGTATTACTGTAAGACCGGCTATTGCCTCTTTCTCTGTGAGGCTCTAGAGCTATTCCTAGATATGTTAGAACTATTTAAAACATATGTTAGAGCTATCCTAAATATGTTAAAGCTATTCCTAAATATGTTAGGGCTATTTCTAGAGTGATTCCTAGGACTACTACTACACATCCAAGTGTTCTGACTCTAATTGTTGTGGCTCTTCCTATGGGTTTACTGTTTACTGTAAAGTGTGCAAGGAACCTCATGTGAAGAGATGTAAGCCATGGATGGATCGTGCACTTTGCCGTTCGACGATGACTTAGGAGTTGGGAACCGCTAATCCTAAGTCACTGGTAGCGACAAGTCCTTTGTCACCGGTACCCAGTATACATAGCGTTAATACTATAATACATATAGTCGTTTCAAATACTACTTATATTAAAAATAGTATACTTTATATATGTTATAAGTTTTCTATTATAGTAAAATATGTATATAACTTAATGAGGCAAATGACGCAATCCTTGCGTTAGGAGCTTTGAAACGGCTCCAAGCGGTTTAGAGCGGTTTCATCCTGTTGCTTTCGAAATAGCTCTGAACGGCTCTAAACGGCTCAGTACTATTTCAAACAGTTTTAGTCAGAAAACTTTGAGTTTTTCAAATAGTTCCAGAGCGGTTTAGAGCGGTTTCTGATTTTTTTGCAGGAAGAAATAGTTCTGAGCGGTTTAGAGCTATTCCTAGAAACAACCTTTAGAAATAGCTCTAAACGGCTTAGAGCGGTTTCAAAGGGCACCAAAAGTCATCCATGTTGAAGCTTTATATAACATACAAAAATTGAACACATCATATTGATCTAATCATATTAGTATTAGTTTTAGTTTTAAGCATGTTAAGTTCAGCAGCAAAATAATGTTGACTTGAAATGTGTTTAGGTTGATTCATTTCTGTGGTTTCTAGACAACAATTATATAAACTCTAGAAATGGACAGGGTCACGGTACTACATCTACAATAGTAGCAGTGGCAGTAGTAGTAGTAGTAGTAGTAGTGCTGCAAAGCTGACTGAGTTGTCATTCCAATATGGTCTATGGTTGGTTGGAGGCCATCACTGCTAAGTTGGATGTATGTGACTCTGTTGTTTTGTTTGTACAAAATAGTTTATTTAGCACTTGTGCCCTGAAAAAAAACATGCTTTTTGGAATGGCCCTGAGGTTTTAGAAAAAGTCCTGAGCTTTTGAGAAATCGTACTGAGCTTTTATGAAATAGTCCCAAACCGCTCTAAACAGTCCTAGGCCACCTAGGGGTCCTTCTTTGGGTACTCGTCAAGCACGGCATGGGGCCTGGTCCCTTTTCCATCGGTTGGGCGACCCCCAGGCATTGGGCGACCCCCAAACAAAGGTTGGGCGACCCGGGCGACTCCCAGAGGTTGGGCGACCTCCATGTTTGATGTATTGGGACACACAAAATTACTAAAGTACTGTACTCATCTCATATTACACCAGTCCCCTGTGTCCCTGTGTCCTTTCAGTCATGTCCAAGGATTGGCCAGTAGTTTGCACATGGGTGGGCCAGTGAAGGAAACATATACTATATGATTATATGATGTTTTTTTGATATTATACAAGGTGCAAAGAGGCCAAATCGTCTACAGTCTAGTCTAGTTGTTCCATTAAACAATGTCCAGTGCAGTGGTGATTATTTACATAATCATAGTTTAGTGCAATTGTCTCATATACGCAGGACTAGTCTAATCATTCTGCCATCTAGGAGGTAGTGATTTGTTCTGACCTCATGTTGTGATGTCAGGAGATGCTCAGTTGTTCTGCAGTGAGTGACATGTAAAAGTTGGTATCATGATGTGGCGTGTAGTGTGAAAGGTAACATGTAGTGTGGTGAGTGGTGATGTCAGGGTTGGCGAATGCTGGTCAAGGTGCATGTGACATGTGATAAATTGAAGAGTAGTGAGGTGAGGTGGTGTGTGGTGATTGATGTGATGAAAGGTAGGGCAAAGGTAACACTGGTGATGTAGTAGGTACACTTGGTGATGTGTACAACTGGCCTTGTCAGTCTGATCTACAAGTTCAATGGTGCTCATTCTTTCTACTGACTTCTAGTGTGCCAGTGGTTCCTCCAAAGAGAATTTGCTAATCCAATCTTTTCACTCCCCCTGAAAAAGAGAGGCCCAGGCTAGGTGGTGGTCAAGGCCAAATAGTCGGCATACTGGCATGCCTCGTTCTCCCCCACACACATACACCCAAACTACACATTGAAAGGATTTGCAACGTTCTTTGGTCCAGGTCCAGAGTCCAATGGGCTTTGTTTTGGTGGGTGATGTTCCTTTCCTATTCATGAGTAGCCCTGGAT